GTTGTAAATACATTTGTAAAAACAATTAAATCACATTTTTAAATACAATTAACTCGAATTTGTAAACACAATTAACACATTTTTTTAAACTCAATTAACTCACATGTATTTTAACATGGGGCTTTACACATTTGTTTCGTCATTTATTTCATAGATTTCAATTTTAGCTTTTACCCTCTATGGCAACGCGACCCCACGTTTTTAAAACCATCTATGATATTTAATTATTGATGCATTTATTTCATTACTGTAACCAAAATGTGGCTTGAAATACAACCTCAAACTTTTTCTCTTTACACACTTGCTTCGCGATTATTTGGTTTATTGAATAGCCACCAACCTAAAGGGCGATTTTGGTGATGGTGAATTATTAATTAACATTCTAACCGTAACTTGATTTAGCAGATTTAATTATCAGCCAACTAAAATATTGCTATGAATAATAATAAAATTGCGGGATTCGCGCCGTTAGAATGTCCCTCTCAGCTCAAAGACCAATCAAGGTAGAGTGTTCATCGGAGCCACTAGTCACTTCTCTGGTTGCTGATTGGCTGGTGGGTTTTGAAAAATGCGCACGCACTAACTAGATTGAACATAGAAAATACACCCGGAAGAGGAAGTGGTAAGGACGCCATATTGGGTTATAAGCGGTACCAATAAGGTTAGCGGCGATGGTGTGGTCGTTTTGATTTGGACGTGATGAATTGACGCGACCACTTTAGCCGCGCGGGTGGGGGTGGGACGGGGGGTGGGGGCGCGCGGTTCCAATCTGATTAAGTCGATGTCCGGAACGTGAAAACTTGTGCCACTATTCAAGCGTAATCTGCTTATGAGGCTAACAAACTCCGCTGGAAGCTTCTCGTTGCTGGGCCATTGGGCTGAAGATGTGGGCACGGATGGCGGCGATTATGGAAATGAATAACGCGGGGGGCCCCGGGGTGGGGCGCTCACCGGAAACTTTACCGCGTAGGACAATAATAAAAGGGCGTTAATTTACAAGATCAATTTAAAATAATTGCCTGTCCCTGTTTGGTGTTCAATCTGTAACAGGATGGGGGGGGGGGGGGGGACGTCATATTCCAATGTCGAGTTTTCAATAAATAGTATTTTACCCTGAATCTGTGATTTTGTTTTAAAAAGATGAAAGCAATTTAAATGCTTTATTTTTTCATACAAAGAAGTTAAGTGGATAATCTTTAAAGTGTATAAAAAAAAGCTTAATCTAGTTGTTTTGTGTGACTAAAACGAATTATCTCAAATCGGGTCATTTTTTTGTCATATTACTCTTGGAAACTTGCGGTCGATAGGACAGAGGAAGCAGACATCACATATTTCTGTGACCTCAGAATATGAAGAGATAGTGTGGTCAGCACGACGCCTAGCCGCCTTTACTTTCCCTAACTTAAGTCAGGTACCCTTTAGAGCTGGGCAGACTCAGCACGTCCTACGGAGCCTGACCTGGGATCCGAACTCGAGACTTTCTGTAATCGGCATTATGAAGTATTTTGTCTTGACCTAATTAGTCGACTGATTTGAGACATTATTATCGTGTGCAATAAATTCTTTTTTAATTATTTTAAAGAAGAGAAAATGTAAGCTAAATCACATTTCACAATTACAGTCGCTCAAGTAGCACACAATCACAAAATCTTCTAATTTCTTTGGGCTTGACGTCATTTATGGACGAACTCCAACACAAAAGGTTGGGTCCCGCTGTGATTCGAACACAGGCTTTCGGATTCAGGATCCGACGTGCTACCCACTACACTACCGGACCGCTTGTCTACACGGTAAATGATACATAAATGAATCTACAATGATGACGTGTACTAGATTATCTAGGGATCATCGGACAGTATTCATATGGCGTATTTGTATGGGGGGGGGGGGGGGGGTCTGACCTCATAACTGATAAATTCTCTTCAATGAAAAGGTCAACACTATCATTTCGCCTTTACCCACCAGTTGAAATAGTTAGCATCTATTTTTGTACAATTTTAAAATTCGGTTCCTTTAAACTTACGACTGTCACACACATCAGTAACAGGAAAAGAAAATTCTTGCATGTTTTGACTCAAAGTAGCGCCTGCTACAGATTTATTTAGCGCCTGGGCGTTGTTCAATTATTAAGAGCTCTTTTGTTAACACGTTTTATAGCTTGTTCATAAAATTAATAAATTTCAGGATATGTAAAAAAAAAAAAAGATGAACGACGAACACTAAACACTCATTGTTATATAATCTGAACAATATCGTTACAATATTTGCAAAAGATGAACGGCGAGGTCGAGTGCTAAATTTTGCAACTGCTATCCCCAAGTTCGCCAGTTCGGATTCTTCTCTCTCTGGAGTTCGGATTTGGAGCATGTTATCCTCCTTTGTGTCGAGGTCTCTTAAACAACTCTACTTCTTCTGCCCCATGTGTCTTGGGCACAAACAGGAAAAATGATGATGAGGATTTAAAAGTAAAATAAATGCTATAAAAAAGTTTGAAAATAAACGACCATGTAGGCCTATCTGCGAGCCTGAGGTCAACTATGGATCACCACCAACGAGAATTGTATGTACCGATGTGATTCGAACACACGCTTTGTGATACAAGATCGGACGTGCTACCTACTAATTTTACGGGTTGTCTACAAACGATACATACTTGCTGGTGTCAAGAAGACATTTATGAGCGATCTCCCGCAAAAAACTACGAGATTTTGTAGTTTACAAAAAAATGGGTCCCGCTGTGATTCGAACACAGGCTTTCGAATTCAGGATCCGACGTGCTACCCACTACACTACAGGGCCGATGCGCTTTATAGTAATTAAAATATTAATCAACCTACAATGATGACAAGATTAGTCAACGTAATCATGATAACATGCAGTGGGCATTCACTTACGGCATATCGCCAGCCATGCTGAGGGTCAACAGTTATCTGACCCTGATTACATAGTTTTCTGCCAAGTCAGCAGATTTGTGTAGTTTGCAAAGGTTAGCAAAGTGGATCAGTGATGGCTGGGTCTATAACTCATATGGCTTCAATATGAATCTTGAAAATTGAATTGTTTACATTGAAATAACACTACATTTTACTACTTCAATGATTCATCCAGCCGGTAAAGTGAAAACCCATTCTAGCAAATGCCTGAAATAAAAAGGCAGAGAACGGCTGTCAGGCCTTCTTTAACTCCAGACTTAGCCATTACAGTCAATACATTTTGATTAGAGTTTCGTTTAATTTTTTTGGTGAGATTTTGTGATCATTTATTGTTAATTTAAAAACATTTTTTGCAGCTGTTTTTCAGCAAATATTTTAGTCGTTTCATTTTGCTTTAGGGCAACTGGAGTGGTTGGTTTTTATAAACGTTTTAAGTGAATTAAAACCAAAGATTTTGTATTTATATTAGGCAATGGATTGGTTAAAATGTCAGATGTTTGTGCTACGTGTACAAGTGCCCTAATTATCCCTATTGATCCCTAATTATCCCTATTGATCCCTAATGATCCCTTGCGACCCCTAACAATCCACCGAATGAATAGCCGTTAATCCGGCTGTTCAATCAATGCGTTCTCAATATAAGTTGATTACGGTATCTTTAGGTATACAAGCAACTGGCCCTGTAGTGTAGTGGGTAGCACGTCAGATCTTGAATCTGAAAGCCTGTGTTCGAATCACAGCGGGACCCCGCTTTGTTTTGCGTTAGATCAATAAAAAATGACGTCATCGGTGTTCGAACTCTGGGGTAGAGTAAGAATCTACTGAGATGGAGCTTGAATTTTTAAACAAACTGGAAAACCGCTAAAATACAGGAATTTTGGTTACATTGTTTATAGTATTTTGTAACAGAATCAAACGTATGGGTTGGGTTTCTTGTTTGTTATTGTATTGTGACTAGAGTTAATGAAAGTTATGGTTACATCCACGTATTATTTAAACTATTTTGATAATGTTTCTCGTTAAAGCTAAAATTCATGTAAAAATACCGTTCCTAAGAGAGAGACTCAGCCAAAGACGAACTGAAGCATAGTTGTAAATTTGTAAACAATTCAAGCTACGAAACAGCAAATACACCGACATAACCTCATCAAGGAGGTACCTCTGTGGATGAGACCATGACGTATACGTGTGAAAACCTTCGAGAACGTCCAAATACCAGATAGGAATAGGTGGCACCGGAAATGAGAAGTTACTACGTCAAATTCGAGGCTGCAACACCATCAAATCATCTACTAAATAGGAGCATAGCTGTCCGCATAAAGTTATAAATAGTAACGGAAGTAAAAAATTTAAAACACCAAGGCAGCTGGACCAGATGGTATTCCACACAAAGCAGACGTCTCCATATCCCACATTTGGGAAGCCAGGGAACTAGACTACCTTGTAAAACTGCAATAGAAAAGAGACGTGTAACAATACAACAACAATTACTGGAGAGGGAAAATGCTTCTACTTGTTCCGATGTTTAACGTATTCTGAGGATACAGAGCAATATGTTTAAATAAAAAAAAAATGTGCCAATGTTTTATTTTGAATTGCTGGAGAAATAGATTGCCACATTTGAGTTAAGCACCTATTTAACACAAAACAAATATCATTATGATTGTTTCAAATATACTTAGAAATATTTTTACTAAAATGGTTCCGCATCTAAAAAGATTTTCTGCAATCAATTTCTGGAAAAGTATGGAGAAAGTTCAGCGATTTTCTAAAAAAAAAACAACCATTATATTGTGTGTATCGGTGGATTCCTGCAACCCTTATAAAGCATTGTAGGGTATGTGGGTGAGAAAAAAGATCAAATATACTATAATAAGTTTACAATCCCGGATTTGGGTCTTGCCGTTTACTGCTTGTTGTGTTAATCAGGCTAACGAGGACTTATCAGAACTGAGGTCATACACATTAGCTAACAGCACACAATATCACTGACCGATAACCATCGGCTGGTCAGGCACACTTCGACTTCGTAGCTTGATAAATGTATCATGTATCATGTAGACAACCGGTCCGGTAGTGTAGTGGGTAGCACGTCGGATCCTGAATCCGAAAGCCTGTGTTCGAATCACAGCGGGACCCATATTTTTGAACTACATATATTATAATATATCGAAATCTTCAGTAAGCGAAGTTGGGCTGTTTTTACTGAACATTATACACTTTATAAAAACCAGTTTATTTCTTTACATTCTCATTTATTATGTTTTTATACAAAATTTATTTTACATGAATACAATTTTTCTTACTAAAATATGTAACAAAAACAAGCGGGGTTTCAATTGAGGAGCAGATTGAAACGATTTAATAGCATTTCATATAATTTCAATGAAAAAAAACTGCTTCGATTTAGGAACGATTAGACATACGAGCAATGTTACAGAAAGAATCTCAAGGTACCACATTTGAATCGCTGAAACCTGTGTGGATTTCAACCACTCAGTTAAAAAAAAAACGCTTTTGAAAGAATCGTGTTGGCAAACATGGACCAAAATCTGACATTCTACAAATAATTATCTGGCTTTTACATCTGACAAACTTTTGGCCTCTTTATAAAACTAATCTGACTACACGTGTGAGTAAATGAGGTTAACAATCTCGTTAGCAGCGATATTACGTTACTCCAACGTCTCGTTGTAATCCGCACTGACGATACAGTAAACACCCTTATCACCAGCCGCCATTAAACAGCCATCAAATTAATATTTCCACGACACAAAGTTGAAAACCAACGCAGAAATCGATGACGTCATTCACCGTTTCCGCACGACCGCAGAAAACGATGACGGAAGCAATCTCTGATCAGCATTACGCGTCGCGTGTCGCGAGAGTTGCGCGCGCCGGCCACGTCATCGTATATCATGTAAAAACCAAACAGCCCTTCGGTGTTGGGGCGATTTGTTCTTGTAGTTTTTGACCCGGCGCTTTCAAGGGCGATAACAACGTAGCCGGCGCAATCAACGGCGCACACTATAGAGGGAACAATTGTTTACATCAATTGTTCGTTTGTCCCCTCTAACTGGGTAAATCCAATCGATCGGTGTGGACTTCATCTCAATTTTTTTTTTAAATTTTAGACATTTATTTAAAAAGTAACTTAGTGTTTTTTAGTGGCTTCCTGTGCTTTGAGTACTCTAGCAACAATTTTCTGTTCTTCAATCAAAAAAGCACGGATGATCCTTTCTCTAGCTGCCTTATGACATGTAGATCCACCATAAGCACGTGTTACGGTCTTTTGTCTCTTACTAATGGCAGCCAACTTGTGGGGTCTAACAGCTTTAACCCCTCTCAGGTTGGTCTTGTAGTCTCCACATACTGGTGCCTTGGGGAGTTTCTTCTGATACAAATAAACTAGTTTACCACCAGGTGTCTTGGATACTTTTCTGCGATTGGAGTTGGTGTTGTAAGACAAATGTCTTCTGAAAGTGAGACGCTGAACCATCTTTACTTTTTTTTTTTTTTTAATTGGCCTCAGACATGTTGATTTACAGCGTCATTTGTGTGTTCGCTTCAGTATTACAGTTTTCATCATCGGCCTGTGAGGACTGATGCAGATTTACAATAGTAATAATTCTTTCTTACTTGTAGCCTACTTTCATTCATTTAAGATGGTTTACTTATACATAGATCTAATACAAAACGTCTATAAATAAAAATAAATAAAAAATAAATAAAAAACAACCTGAAAATGCAAATGTGTAATTAAATGATGATTCAAGGGATTTTTTTTCCTCGGCGTGGTGGGTGAGGGGGTGGGGGGGGGGGACGGGGTGGAATTTGGGTTTTTAAGTAGAGCTGAAATAAATTTGTGATTACAGAGAATTAAAGTGATACAAATTTTAAGCTATCGGAAAAGTTATGTTATTACAACAAGACACATCAAAGCAAACATTCTTCCCTTTCAAACATCTATATCTATACAGTCCTCAAACAATTGTTTTTTTTTTAATCAATTGTTTTAAACATTTAAATCAGTAATAATAATTTGTTTGATAGTCCCACACAGCATCAAAGACTTGAACATCAATTGCATATATAATAATCAAAGAGAGAAAATAAAATGGCATAAGACTAGACTAAAATAAGGTGTGCAAACTAGGTTTCTCTGGACTGGTTAGTTCACTGTGCTCAGTCCTTAGCTGTGGAGTCAAAAGTTCACATTGTAGCCACCCATGTACAGAAATAGAAACGACCTTGGGAGAAGTGTCTCTGTAATACACATACTGATCTATAATTCCAAAAATTTCCATGACATTAAATTGACCCTTGGCGATGAAGGCACGCTACCTTGAAATATCCGCTTGTCCGGTTGAGTGGGGGGGGGGGGGGATGTGTGTGTGTGTGCGGGGGGGGGGGGGGGTGGTGAGGTGTGTATCTCTTTCTACCATTCTGGTTGTGCACTTTTAAAAACCTGGGAAACAGAAGGTTGTTCTAATGTTAATTTACTTGAGGGCAAATCGAGTGATGTTTGGCTTGAGACTGTCTAAATTAAAATTAATACTTTATTGATTGCTTTCCTGTACATTTTTTCCCCAGTTAAGTGAGAGTTCCGAGTCTATGTCTTAGCTTTGCTTGAAATATTTCTGCTAAAAGTATCGTCTTGTTTTTGTATTCGGTATTTATAAGTTCATTAAGCGTGTGGTAGAAATGTTTTTGGTCTTGTCTTTGTGTTGGGGCGTATACATTGATGATTGTTATTTCTGTATTATCCATATTCAATGTGATGCAAGCTATCCTGCCCTGTTTATCTGTGTATGTACTTTTAAAATATCATCTGCAGTTGAAACCAGTACTGTGCAGTGAGTTTTTGATGCCGATGTATGCATCTAGTTTAATGGCTTCTTCTGTAGTTCCAATGTTAGTTTCCTGTAAAAGTAGGATATCACAGGGGTCGGCAACCTTTTGAGACCGAAGAGCCAAAAGTTACAATTTATAAAATTTCCCAGTTTTTAAAGAGCCGCCAACACTTTTTTTTAATATTATGATCTTTATTTAGGATTTGGTATATATATATATATATATATATATATATATATATATATATATATATATATATATATATATATATCAATGTTTGTGTGTGTGTGTGTGTCTGTTTTTTCTTTTATGTATTACTACATCTTTCATCCGATCGCCATGAAACTTTGGGAAGTTGCTAAGAATGCACATGGAAAGGTTTCTGCGAAAAAAGTTTTTCAAACTCGCAGGATTGCCCCTCCCCCCCCCCCACCCCCCCCCCCCCCCCCGGCAGCGTGCTATTCGATTCTTCTCTATATACTGTATATAAAAGTAAAGTCGATTGTGGTTTGACACCGTTCATCCGATCGTCATGAAACCTTCCGGAGTTGACTAAAACACTCCAGGGGAGGTTTGTACAAAAAAAAAATCATTTTAATTTTTTTATGGGCGGCGCCCGGGTGGTGTATTTTTTGTCAATACACCTTTTGGCGCCCAGAGTTCCGGAGCGGCTATGTTAGTACTTGGCATCCATTAATCTTGCGTTCTGCATATCGGGTAAGGGGTACTACTATATTCAGCGGCAAAACTGCAACAGGTGCAACCACCGGCGCCTCGTCGATTGCGCGATCCGAAGCGCCCCGGGCTCACCTGCGAGCACTACTGTCGCCTACGTTCGTTTTTAAAAATAGGCTATACACTATAGACACGCGTTGATTTAGTCGCTTACTAAATCGAATCAGGCTCATCCTCCTGCTTCTCTGCAGGGTGCGATTTGGCGCCCAGGGCTATCCTGCAAGCACCAAGCGCCTATCTTAGTTTTAAGGAGCACCCTACAATACGACGTACGATGATTAAACCGAGCTAGGGGCCGTACGCAGCGCCACTGCGGTAGTGTAATCGGGTTCACGAGAGCGTCACTTTCCGTCCTCGACAATTAGGCGGTGAGTGATTAACTTACACTCAAGTCTTTCATACAGCACGCCATGGTGGTAGGCGGTAGTGTAGGTAACCAGTGCCTCGATAAATATGATCCAAACACGGGCATTGTTTACATTTAAATAACTCAGCTTTAGAAAACAAGGAAGTACATTGAAATAGGGAGTAACTAAATATTCTAATAGAATAGCGAGTGTTTATTGTTTATATTTGTTATTATACCGTTCATTACCGAGTGTTGCAGAATAATAATTTTATGAGTTTTAAAAATAAAATAAAACAATTATTAATAATAGTGCACCGAGATGAAGAGCCGCACCTTGAGACCAAAGGAGCCGCATGCGGCTCGCGAGCCGCAGGTTGCCGACCCCTGGGATATCAATACTGTGTTTATTTATTACGTTGTTTATATGTGTTTTGAACCATCTTTACTCACTGTTAAATCTATAATAATAGTTTCGCTGTCTGTGTATCTGACAAGAACGCTCTGTCTGACAAGAACGCTCTAGAGAAAACACAAGCAATTTAAAAACATGCACAGTAATTCGAAAAACGAAATATGACGTCGACACATTTAGCGTAGAGTAGAACATAGTCTCAAACCAGAGAGTGCACACAGTAATGTAATGACGTCATTGATTCTCGCGTAAATATTGAAAAAAAGGAAATGTTGTCTAATCTAAATGGTTTGCGTGAAGAGTTTCTTGCATACAATTCTTCGGGTAGGGGCGAAGCCCCACCCCCCGCGTAAGAACGTCTGAGCCCCCCCCCCCCCCCTCCCCAACTCAAAAGAAATTTCTTCATCGATACTCTATAACAAAATTACCGCCTAATTAATGTGTCTAATCTAAAAAGTGGTTTTCTTGCAATGGGACGGTAGACATGTTTTTTGGGGGGGGGGGGGGGGGTGGAGGGGTGGGGGGGGGGTGTGTGTGGGGGGGGGGGGTGTGTGTGTGTGGGGGGGGTGTGGGGGTGGGGGGGGGGGTGGTGTGTGGGGGGGTGGGTTGGTTTCAGTGTTTCTTTCAGACTTTTTCCTCCCCGGAGAGGGGTGGGGGTACTTGAAATTTTCGGGGGCGGGGGTAGAATTTTCTGGGAGGGGGCGGACACTGGAAAAAGTATATAATTATATTTCGTTGAATGGGACGGTAGACATGTTTTTTTTGGGGGTGGGGGTGGTGGAGGGGTGG